GTTGTGTAGGATTTTGGCGAATATAATCCAGACGGCAATTACGTGATGCAGACAACCGAGGGCGAACAGATTTCCCAGTTGATATCCGGCTACATTGACATTATCCTCCGAAGGAAAAAGAAGTCGGATGCCTTTGTTGATGACAGTGATGACTCAAATGTTATTTTTGAGGAGAATGTGGGTCCATCAAGGTGAGTTCTTCCCCCTTTACACACACACGCACATCAAATGGTTTTATAGTTTACTTGTGCCCGACATGATGCTTCTCACGGAAAGAGGTAATATTACCTCCTTTCGTAGTTGCTTATGGTATTTTTCTCTTGCCATTGTAGCACCTACCTTCCTGGACTTAATGCTTGTTGCATTCAATCGAGTCCTCCTCTTTTTTGCGTTTTTACTGCTAGGCATTTACGTAGCTTCATGTGTGCATTCAATTAGCATATTTTTGCCAAGGTCATATTCAAGCTATTTATTCAAACTTGTCAGGTGGATAGCTTGATAGGTAGATGTGGCCCTCTCTACTGCTGCTTCACTATTTACGCATAGGATGATTTCCAACGCTACCTTGGGGCTGGCAATGTGTTTGGGATTGAGGTCAACCAAGACGGTCATTTTTTAGTGCACAAAATCTGAATTTTAACATTGATTCAATTTTTTTTGTACTTATAGGCTTTTTCATTGTGTGTACACTTGAAAATGATCTAATTTGATATGTCAGTGAACACGGACTTTAACGGCCCCTCTTTGTTTATCGTGGCGTCGTGCACCCAACTAAACAGATTGTATGTTTTACTTTGATGTCACACTTGGGTATGTGTATGCGGACATTATGAGTCTAGATTTTAATTTGGCCTTGTCACTACGTCAAAAACCTCAATCCCTTGCCTGCTTGGGCGAGGTTGGGTGTAGTTAGGGCATTTTGAGGAAACCGTTTTTTTTACACTCCCTGTCAAGCATTCTCTTCCTCTTTTTCAGGGCAGAAATCATATCTAATGTCGGTACAGTGGGAAGACGGTTCAACGTCTCTGCTGGTTATGTTGCCACCGAGGGCTACCCCGGTCAAGCTAGCACCTTTACTCGAGGCTACGTAGGGAACAAATCAGTTGAATCTGTTGCTGATCGCAGAGTGGACAGTTCATCATCAGTCGCTATGCGTGCTCAAACTCTCGGTGGGAAACGAAGCGGATTTACAGGAAATGAGGTGGGAATTTCTTCCATCCCCTCAACCTAGCATCACCATTTATGCCCACTCCATCGTTTTTTTTGTATGCGCAGGTTCAGTTGAAGGAACTGAGTCAGCCCAAACGAGCGGTGATGCATCGAATTGACGAAAGCACTAAAGAAATTCAAGATGCAAGTGATAGTCTCCAAAAGCCCTACTTTGAGGATAACGACACAGTCTCGCGAGATGACTCGGTAAGGCTTCTGCATTCATCACTACTACCACCTGTGGAAATGGCATTTTAGCATTTTTTAGTCACCCAGTAAATCTCATTTGCCACTTCATCTATCCAGAAATTCGACGTCCAGTAGAAAACCTACTTTACTGCAGATTTGATCCAGTTTCTCCTTTTTTTCTACTTTGAACGAGACACATTCGCATCAATGTGACACTGGTGGCAAGATTTCTATCACATCAAATATGGTTACTAGTGCGCAGCAAAAACAGCATTTTGTCCACAAGTGGGCTTGGTTTCTGTACGCACTTTGATCACATCATTTCACTTACTGAACCTACCCACTCTCCGCACTCCCAATTCATCCCACTGTGCCTCAACTACATGGTAATGCGTTCTGCAGGCAACACAGCGCTGGAGAGAAGAAAATATGGCCCAAGCACGAGCAGGTATCTGCAGTTACTTAGGGGCCATGACAATCGCAACAGGGAATCTCATTTCCCTACTTCAACCCTGTCACAGCCGCGTTGGTGAAGGTGAGCCTCTGAGCACTACCACGAGTCATACTATTTATTTTCCAACTACCGTAACAGTATCGTAGCCCCGTGTGCCGGAACTCTGTAGGGAGCTCTCAAGAAGGAATCGAGGAAGAGGAGGATGTCATCGATTACACTGCGATGGACGCCTCTCTTGCTACAATTGGTTTGAATGTTCAACGACTCATGCAGAATGTCCGAGTGTTGGATCAGCTACAGGCCGTTGATGCTGGTGATGAGTCTCAAGGCCACATTATGAATGCCGCTCAGGAGGTTGCAGACGCTTTTCTCAAATTAATGCAGTCAGCGATGCCGATGAAGGAAGGAAAACAAGAGGTGAGTTACTCCGGAGTTCGGGAGGTTTATTAACTTTAAGCTCTTTGGAAGTAATGAAAATATGAATAATCCTCCGGGAGTGTTTTTGGACAAACTAGTTTCATTTTCCTCCCGTTTCATGCCTAAAATACTCCGCGAAGTTCTCTTAGTTTGAAAATGTTTTGTAAGCCTGGAATCGTCGAAGTATTTTTACATCCATTCAAAAGGGAAGGGCGTGATATTAGGCTAAAAATGAGAAGGCTCATGGCTATGAGTAAATGGAGGCATTTGATTGCTTTCAATCAATCAAATCGTCCGACATTAGTAACCATCTAATGCAAAAACAGTTATCATCCCCGCTTCAAAATGGATAAAATTTTCATCATCCTCCCCCCAAAGTATTAGGTTGAGAATTCCAACAAAATAAGTTGCATATTGTAAATTTTTTACTTGGTGTTTCTTTAGTCCGTATTGCGTAGCAATCACTGCAGAGACCAGCCGATTTGGACGATTCTTAGGTATTACCTTGATAAGTCATTGCCCGAGATGCATAGCTTCTGGCTAGTCGGTGAATAGGAAGAGCATTGCTTCGACTACCGCAAACTGAGAGGTCGGTTTTATTTCAAGGTCCGAATTGCGAATATCCCTTCAATAGGCAGTCCCGATTTTTGGGGAATGGCATTGAGCTTGAGTAAATATAGTTGAAAAGTAATTTCATTAAATGCCTCTAACTATCTGTTAGCATCTGTTTTAACAAATTAACGATCCGTCAAAGCGCATGACCCTGGGGTCAGTTCTTGTATTGGTGGTTTGCTGCTGTATGTAGTATGAAGTTCAAAGGTTCACCCCTTGAATTTTCAATGTTTTTTGTGCTTTAACTCTGATCATCTGAAATTGGCTTGGATTTCATTCAAAGTCCATTCATTACATCATGGGTTTTTCTTGAAAAATGTCCTCACCGTCGTTAAGTCGAGAATTTATTTGGGCTATATTTGGGATTAGGCGCATAAAGGCCTGGCGGGGTTCTAATTGTCCATGCCATATTGCTGAGCTGACCTCACAAAATAAAGCAGGTTCGATGTAAACAGCCTTGTACAGAGGCTTAGAGCATGATCATTTATGTGGAAAAACCTCATTCTGACATCCGTCATATGACATGGCTCAGCTTCATTGCTGCATTTTCATTACAACCTTTCCTTGTCTTTCCTTGTCACCTGTTCCTCAGAACAGGTGAATCGAAAGGAACAAGCACGCTAATAGGAGACATAAGTTACTACAGGACTTTTTTTATCTGTCCCTCCAAAACTCTCATTGTCTCGGTTCTGCTTTAGCCAGGAGCTGTGGTAGATCGTCCGAGTCTCTATGAAGCAGCGTCGAGAGTGGGTGATACCAGTCAACAGTTGCTCCAATTGGTTTCTGCCAGTCATCTCTACTCTCATCGTCGTCGCAAACAACGTCTGGAGCCTATTCTCGAAGATGATGATGAAAATGATCAGGGTAGGAAACTTTTTGTTGCGTCTCAAACAGTTGCTCAGTGAAGGAGATTGGCAGTCAGCTCTTCCTCACTCACCACGTATAATTCACTAATTTTGGAGGAAGGGCAATCCACTTCCACTCCCTCCTTCAAATGGAATTGGAGTTTACGGATACAAACAAAGGATTTGAAAATCTCTATATCACTTTTATGTAAGCTGGGTGGATTGTGGGGCTAGGTGATTGTACCTAAAGTCTTCCCAACAGAGGGTAAGCGATATGCCACCGGAACGAAAGTTGAACTCCGAAAGGCCGAAAGTACTGGCGTAACCAAACACAATTTTGTCACCCTGTCATGTGTCTATTACTTTATTGCAGTGCCTTCAAGTCTTATCCCCCTATGTCATTAGGAAAACCCCAGGCTTCTTTTCTCATCTATTTAGCTTGTTTTTCTTTTAGCAGTTCCAAGTTTTTTTCTCATCATGTTTTCTTGCCGTGAAAATCGCAGTGTCAGGTTAGAAGGAGAAGGCCGGGAATTTTGTGCTGATTAATTATTAAGTGTTACTGAAAGTCTTATATGTTATTTAATTAGTATGTATGTACTGTTTCCCAGATTATGGCGACTACGAATCAGATTCGGAGATTATCGCCAATGCCCATGCTATGGATTGGCAATTGAGGGACGACCTATTGGCTGCTACAAAGGTATTTCTGCCCCTTGTTCTAATTAACTTTGTTCTTCCTTTTTTGTATATGCGATTGATGCCTCGTTTATTTGGAC